CAAAAATCCCTCTCCAAAAAAAAAAAACAAATGTCCACCAGGTACATATTCCCCGAGGTCGGACTGACGGTCGGCGGCCGAACAATAAGTTGTCCGCGCTGAAAAATGTACAGACCTCGATATAACGCAGGTTAAAAGGTCACCTTTTTAGTGACGTTCATACCTGTGGGTCGTTAAGAGATGGGGTAGGGGAGGTGTAATTAATTTTGAGTAAATTAGACACGCGATACCCGGCAAAGTCGGCGGAATTCCGGGAAGGATCCAGACGAGTTGGAGAAGGAGCTCCTTAACAAGTGCGCTCATTAAAAGATGCAGTAATCCTCCTACAGCTACAACTACACCTCCTATTTTTCACATCACGCCTGCAGCCTGCAGCACAGATCCCCGTACCAGTTTAAGACGCGAGCCGCGAGCGAAGGATGCAACCGAAACGAGGCTAATGGCTTCATCGTTACCATTACTTTAAACTCTCGTATTTCCCTTTTCATTTTTTTATCTCTTCGTGGTTATATTTAGACTACGAACGAACTACGAATTCTACGAATTCCATGGCTCATCAATAAAACACCCTTCCGCATTCCGGAAATAGTAATGATTTTTTAAGGGCGGTCCGGAAGTACGGAAAAAGTGCGAAAATTCTGCAAAAAGGCCCGGAATTTGTCTAATTTTTTGTCATTTTTGTCGCAATTTCAAATTTTTGAAATTTTTCGAATTTCGTGAAATAAGGTACTGAAAAAGTACGGATTTTTTCTGTTGGAGGAGGTACTGAATTCCTTGAGATTGTACTGAAAAAGTCCTGTAAAAGTATACTTATTTTTGACCAGCCTGTTTTAGTAGACACCCTGGCATTAGGAAACTAATGGGACAAATTATGTTTCTAAAATGAGCTAGAATTTGGATTTTATTGCAACATTTATTCAATTTAACCCTTGTCTGACCGACGTCGGTCGGCATTTCTGTAGCGTGGCGTTGGCCGTGTAAAGAGAGGAACACAAACCCCTTTCAACTTCCAACTTCATTTCTAAAATCTCTACAAATGTCAAAATGCAAGAAAATTAGTCACCGTTTGCATTCAAGATCAATTTCAAGAAAAATTGTCCTACTTTATTTTTTCCGCTTGGTTGGCATTTCCTTGCATCGATGACGAATGAAAACCCTCACAACTAGAGTAACTTTCAAATATTTAAAAATTCCAACAATTCAGCGTGCACGTAAGATCGATTTCAATGAAATCTCCTCTCTCCGTTTTTCTTGATTCATTTTGGAGCATCGATGATATTTTTCATTTTTTTTTATTTTTTTTTATTTTTTTTTACCTCGTATTTATTTACCTCTTGATTAAGAAATTGGAATAGATGAATAGATGATAAATGAAAACCCTCTCAGACTACTCGAAGGAAGCAAATTTGTACCAGTTTAACTTCAAAAAATTGTAAAATTCGAGAGAATGCGTCACTCCAATTCATTTAAAATCAATTTCAGTCTTTCCCACTTCGTGTTCCTCGATTCAGGTCGAAATTTTTGTAACATCGACGTTTTGTAAGAGGGGTAGCACAGACCCCTCCTCCTCCCAACCAAGTAAAACGGACGTAGGTAAACCAAGGTACCTAACCTCTAAAATTGCTGAAATTTTGAAATTCGTGAAAACGTGTCACCGTGCATTCAAGATCTATTCTTATAAAAGTGAGCCCCTCTATATTCTTGGATTCGGGTCGACATTTTTGTATCATTGACGAGACATAAGAGCACAAAACCCTCGGAGACGACCAGTGAGGAACTGAGCCAAACTGAGGTGAATTCCTAGACGGCGGTAATTACAATTTTCCCTCCAATTTGAAGGCATTATACCGCGTTGGGCGGGTGTATTCAACAGCTCCTTGCTGCTGGAGCACCTCTAATTAAAACACAACTTTTTCACGGACGAGAGACGCCTGGAAAGGTCTCCGGAGCTCCTTTGTCTCCGGTCGGGGTCGGGATCGAGGCCGGGAAGAATGCTGCCGTGCTAAGGAAAAACGCCGTATGAGCAGTCGAACGTTGCCAAATCTCCTCTCAGAAAATATCTATTTTTGAAAAAAGTTATGAATATATTGTCCTTGAAATTTTCAGGCTTTTTAGATAAAATTCCGAAGAAAATCCTCCGAAAAATCAGAGAAAAAATACATACAAATTTTACTGAAAATTCGTCGTTTTTCGGATGAAATTTGGCAACGCCTATAGGCTTATACGGGGTTATTCCTTAGCACGGCAGAATGGGAGAAAAGATCAACTTGAAGAGGAGAACTCGAATGCGCTCGGATAAAAGCCCGGTAAACGGTGAGCGCCGTGGAAATTGGCGCCCGGCCCGACTTAAAGTTCACGCGAAAAAAGGTTGAGGAAAGGTTAATTAGCTCGCTAGGATTTATTCCGCCCGAGCAAGCCCCGCTCTTGCCGCGCGGCCCACTCGGGGTTGGGGCGACCTCGTAAGGGTGTGATCCATGTCGCGCTCCAGAGCCGCGCCTGGCCCGAATGGCATTTTCAGCAGGACGAGTTGCGAAGTAAGTCGATACGATTGCAACATGGCACAATAATGATGCAATAATCTATCGTATAACAAGGTGAAAATTTCCTTAAAAGTCATCGGAAACCTGGAAAACACAAGGGAGTTCGCCTAAACCTCCTTGGTAAAAATTGGCGATAAGAGCTGCGTTTCAAAATACCATAGGAATTCTTATAGCCGGCTAAAGAAGGCTACAGAAAATCATATAGCTGGCTGAGAATGCGGAGAAAATCATACGGCCGGGCTATACGAAGCGATAAAAAACTATGCAGCCGGGCTATAGTTCCTATCGCCGGGCTTTACACTTTATCGTCTGGCTGTTGCTTTTTCGCCCTTGATTATAAAAGGCTATAAGAAATTGTGTAGAAATTCCTATGCTTTGGAAATCATTAAGTTTGATACGGAACCACCTTAATATTTACAAAACACACATTATATTTTCCTTTAGTGCATATTTTTTTTCATCAATTAAAATGAGAATAATCCATACAGGATGTGCAAACATTTCAAAATCATGGGTTGAATAACGCTGACTCCGCCAGATTAAATATTAGAGCCTAACACAAAGCGGAGCGGCGACGCACTGGCGCTTACAAACCTAACAGGGTTACTTCACGCATTGCGCAACGCGTGAAGTATCCCTGTTAGGTTTGTAGGCGCCAATGCGTGTTTCGCGCTGGCTGCTCGCCTGCCACGGCGCTTGAAGCAACTATTTCACACCAGAGGTATTGCACAGTATCATACGAAACTGAAGGCGCTCTAATATATTAGTAATGGCAGGCATCCATCAAAAGTACGGAGCTCTCCTCGCAAAATAAATCAAGATACTACGGCCCAAAAAGAGAGCAGTATTCCAAAAAATCACTCTAACATCCGTCTAACTCAGTCCTAGCATCCGTAATTAGTAACGTTTAGCATACACTTTATCGTCAACGGCTATAAAAGGCTATAAGAAATTGTGTAGCCGGCTATAGAAGCTATTGGACATCTTACAGCCGGCTGTAGGTCTATGGTATTTTGGAACACAGATTCTACTGCCAATTTTTATCAGGGCTTAAAAGTCAGTGAATTTCGTTGGAAGAACTTGAAATTTTCTCCTCGGGCTGAAATAATCAGTTATTTTCAATTTCAAGCAACTTCGCGTTAAAAATTGTTTGTATTTGTATGAGAAATCATTCCGGAAGGAAACAAGTTATAGTCGGGAAATTTTACGCTCTGAAGCCCTGGAAAGTGATGGAAAAGTCAGGGAATTTTGAAATTTACGAAAACTTGTCAAACTGTAAGAGTAAAAACAGAGATTACTCTTTGCTTGTAAGTAAATGTGACGAAGTAAGACTTAATGAGCTTCAAAGTGGAAATTCAAGTTGTTTGTTACTTTCAAAACCATGGTAATATTTATCGTGGATTTCTCTTGAACTTTTACGTTAATTTTGATTATTTTTGCGAACTTTTAAAAGATTTAAAATAAAATTTCAGAACGTTTCATGTAGATTTCTAGAATTTTATGAAATCCACGCAGCAGTCTAAAGTATTAAAGTTCCATAAGGAAGGACTTGTCTCAGAAAATTTGGGAATTTTATGAAACTTCACGCTCTCTCTTCTAAGCTGAACAAAATTCCATATAATTATCAGAAATGTCATAAAATTTCTCGAAGTTCTAGAATTGTATGAAAGCCGCGTATTTCGAGACTCACAAGAACTTTTACACAGAAAAAAAACTCCGGCTGTGGAAGGCGTACTTAAGGGCTATATAGACATACCCTCTGCGTTCCGGACTCAGAGGCTGAAAATTCCGGGCGTGGCATCCGGAGCAGTCAAAACTACGGCTCCAGCACCCGGGATTCTCAGCCTCCGAGCCCGAAACGGACGGTTTTTCTGCATAGTCCGAACTTTTTTTTCAGTGTACGTAAATTTCAATAATTTCAAAAAAAATTTCACATCCCTACAAGATTTAGTGAAAGACATGGCTATAATGATGACATTGTGGACGGTGTTCGAAACTCACAGGCGCCAACGCGCCAAATGCGCCTAAAAAATCGGCCATGACGCCTAAAAAATGAAGGCTCTATACGCCAACGTGGCCGCTAAAAACTGCCCCCTAAAAATCTGAATTTTCATATCAGGTGATTGATTATTCGGAATTTTCAGCACTACAAGTGAAAGCTTTTTCTATTCTTCACGATTTCATCTTTTTGTGATTTTGTCTTCCTCGAGTTACAGCTATATACTAGTTCTGTCATGAAATCATCTTGCATCTAACTTGTCACTAAATGCGCCGTAATATATAGGCAAAAAGTCAATTTGGCTCGTAAAAAATCGTCAATGGCGCCTAAAAATTGGGCTTGATGCGCCACTTGGCTCCTAAGACTCAAAGATGAGTTTCGAACACTGATTGTGGACGTTTACCGATGGAATTTCTCGTGACGTGATGATTACTGATGTGTGTGATTTTCATTTGTTTCAGAGTCCGGTGGAGGAGGGGGCGGAGGGACGACGGGGGTGCCGGGGGCAACGGGGCCGGGGGGGACGGTGGGCGTCGTGAGCGGCGGGGGGGGGGCGGGGCGGTGCTGAAGGAGTGCGCCCACTGTCGGAAGGCCATCACGGAGCGGTTCCTGCTCAAAGCCCTGGACTCCCTCTGGCACGAGGACTGCCTCAAGTGCGGCGTCTGCGGCTGCCGTCTCGGCGAGGTCGGCTCTACCCTCTACACCAAAGCCAACCTCATACTCTGCAAAAGGGACTACCTCAGGTGAGACACACCCCCCTCTTACCCCCCTACCCCTAAAAAACCACTAAAATTCAATTATTTTTCAAAAAGTTCAAACACTCTATTTCCAAATTTGCCAAAAACCCATCAGGGAGTACCCATAGAGTACATAGAGTCGTAATGTAAATGGGAGAACTGGCGCCATGTTCTGCTCGACGAGTTCCGAGCCCGGGTCACTTTTTCGATACATTTTCGAGCCAAAATGGCGGTGTAGAATACGTGGTGATTCCTATCTTCTTTGTTTACATCGGATGGCCGGGTACCCGTGTATCGTAAACAATCGATTATGTATCGAAAAAGTGACCCGGCGTCACGCAGGAGTCTCGGGATTCGGGACCTGGAAAATGCTTAAAAGTGGCGCCAGCTCACCCACTTACATCACGACTCTATGTGCTCTATGAGAGTACCCTACTACAACCCACGATTTGACTTTTTGATTTTGAATTGAAATCACACTTAAACCTTCATTTTATCATCAAATTCGATATTTTGGGGTCCGCAACTTGGCAACGCTGACGCGGCAAAAAAAATTTTGTACGGGCATAAAAATTTCAGGAAAGTCACATCTTATACCAAGTGAAATCATACTAAAAATTCAGATCGGCCGAGGCAAGGATGAGGGAGAGGGGATTTAATTTGTCCCTAGGCCAATTTTGCTATTTCACCCCTAAAAAACCACGAAAATGCGATTATTTTTCCGAGAGCTCCGATGACCTATTTCGAAATTGCCCAAAAACACATCAGAAAGTACCCCGCTACAACCTCCAACTTGAATTTTTTATGTACCTTCAATGTTCTTAATAAGTCAGTTAAAGCGCACCGTGAGGGGCTTAAAGACCTCAATTGGTCTCTTTATATTCCTTATTCTTATTGGCTTTTCTTTGTTTCTTTCAGGTTATTCGGTTCTACTGGCCTCTGCGCCGCGTGTGATAAACCTATTCCCGCTTTCGAGATGGTCATGCGGGCGAAAAGTAATGTTTATCATTTAGATTGTTTTGCCTGTCAACAATGTAATCATAGGTAAGTTTGTTACTTTCACCTCTTCTTCTGGCTTTTCATGGGGGCATCACAACGAAGTCATGAATCTAATTTTTGTTGAAAATTAGCTCTTAAAGTAGGAACACGATAAAATGAAAAAAAAAAAGTCTAGTAAGAACTTTGTTGCTCCCAAAGCAACAAAATAGAAGCGATCGTTCAACGTTGCATTTTTTTAATGTGGTTTTGAATAGCAATCGGCTCTATGCATTATTGCTGACTATCCGAGTCTACGGTCTTCGCGTCACGTCGTTGTTTGCGTAGATTAATGCAGGATATGAGAACGAAGAACTCTGACCGCCTTCAAATGGAAAAATAGGCAATCCGCACATCCCAAGTGTTAATATAGTTGTATTCCTTCGTTGACCTAAGTCTCACTCAATCCTTCCTTGCCGTGCGAAAGGAAGGGTGGAATGGGTTGAAACTCTTGAAACGAATAATCAGTTTAACCGCATTTATCTCGAGTCACCAATTTGTTTGATACAATTCTCTTTTTTTCTCGTAAAAAGCAATCAGCCGGTATCAGATTAACGAGGTACGATTTTTTAATTCAAATTTTTAATTTCTCTAATTTTTTAATTGTATATCAAAGCTGAATTTCAATTTTATCTCCGCATTTTTTCCCGCCAATCATAATTGTTTACAGGATTCAAAATTCAAACTCTGTTTTAAGGATACGTCCTAGCCAGCCATTGGTCTGCGCCCTTTTAACCTATGTTGACCACAGAAAATGATAAGTTTTGATTTTGATACAAAAATGTTTGATGTTAAGTTAAATCCACTTTTTGAGAGAAAAAATAAATTGTTATAAAAAAAAACAATTTCATCAAGACAAGGGAAAATGGGTATCCTCACACAAATTTTATTCAACTGAAAAGGCTGCGTCCTTTACGGAAGAGGCATTATACTCATAATTAGAAATTACCAAGAAAACGATTTCCTTGTGATAATGATTCCATATTCTCTTCTTAAGCTATCTAATGAAGAATTTTCACACACAAATTTTATTGCTCATCTGAGAGCGCTTAATAAGCTGAGTTCGCAGTATTTTTCATAATTTTTTTCTGAAATGAGAAATCGGGGAAAAAATATTTAAAAGTGAGATAATGTGCCGCCTTGTGACGTCATCTGGCGGCATTTTCCATTGCAACACATATATTTTGGCAAATTAGTTTGTTCTGTCATATTTCATCGGTTAATTGTTCAATTTAGAAACCAAGGATATCCTCGTGCTCAGTTTTCTCAGCAGTTTCTTTTTAAACATGGAATTTACAAATTTCTCCTGCAAATTCTCCATTGTAAGTACTTTCTCCTGATGAATGTTTACGTATGTTTCAGGTTTTGCGTTGGCGACCGGTTTTACCTTTGTGATAACAAAATTTTGTGTGAATATGACTACGAGGAGCGGCTCGTGTTTGCGAATATGGCTTACAATCCTAGCAGCTTAGCACATATCAGAAGGCAAGTCAGTCAGTTGCAGGTAGGGACCAGGATAGGTAGCAATCTTGGGGAATGAGCGTTTCAATTATAATCCTCTCAATCTATGCACCCCTTTAAACTGAACTGAGAATTGATAAACAAACCGAAACAGAAAAAATGCCCGCTTCCCTCCCCTTCAGGAGAAAAATATACCTTCCACGATTTTATTTTGACTTTTTAAACTGAAGTTCATAGCTGAGTAGTAAAAAAGTAAAATTCAGTAAAAAATAAAAAAAAATAAAAAGGAAGTATACGAAGTAAAGAAAATAAAGGAAAAAGAGTACGCAAAGTGAGGAAAAGTAAAAGAAGTAAAAAAAAAGTAAATAAAGTAAAAAAAGTGAAAAAAGTAAAAAAAAAACAAAAAAAGCAAGAAAAGTAAAAAAAAATTAGAAGAGTAAGAAAAAGTAAAAAAAAAAATAAAACGAGTGAAAAAGTAAGAGAAAGTAAAAAAAGTAAAAGAAAGTAAAAAAATTAGAAGAGTAAGAAAATGTAAAAGAAAGTAAAAAAAATTAGAAGAGTAAGAAAAAGTAAAATAAAGTAAAAAAATTAGAAGAGTAAGGAAAAGTAAAAAAAAGTAAAAAAAGAATGAAAAAGTAAAATTAGGTAACTTTAAGTCTGTATTAAATTTTAACTTGAAACTATTTCAATCACAGTATTTCTGGAGCATTTTTAGAAACACCTATTGAATTGGTTAAAAGGTCACAAAAACTTGTTTTGAAGGTAGAATTTTGTGAATACGTAAAGAATAATATTATTTTGTGTAACTGCAATGTTCCTGCACTAAGTAATCAGAGAGCTTTTGTTCTTTGAAAGCAGTAGATGGACCTGTCATCCATTAGGTGTTTCAAAGAGTAATATCTCCATTTACATTACCTACACCTGGAAACTTCTTGCTCGACAAATTTTACTATCATTTTGCTGATTCATTAGCTGTAAACATCAAAACGCAACTTTACCATACGCACAATCAATTTACTAATTTTTTTTACAAATTCCCTCATTAAAGATTTGTAGTACTTACAAAGCCGGTGCAGAAAGCTCCGCCTGTATAACAGATTTCTTACTTTCTTTTTTAAAAACAATTAGGTTGGAAGGGGGGGGGGGAGAATTCTCTTTTTGAAAATGAAATGGTGAGGTTTTTTAAAAAAATATTATCTTTTTCTCGATTCTGCTGTACACCTAGTCTTGTAATGAGTGAAACATTTCCAATTATCTGCCATTTAAATGTTCGACACCCAGACTTGCTTTTTAACCTAATTATCTCTTGATGCTTACACCCTTCCCAGGTTCCCCCACGCTCATTAAGTAGCTGTCATGGTTGAATACTAAAAACTAGTTTAAATCAAGTCAAAACATTTTTGCTTATTGGACCTCCAGACGAAGAGTTAATTGGAGCTCAAATTATCTCACAATGAAAATATTCAAATATTGATTGATAGGGTACCGTATCAGATTTGACTGTTGGAAATGAAGTTTCAAAACTTGAAAATTTTGTACAAAATTCCTGAAAAAATTTTCAAAACACATTGGTTTAATATGGGATTCTCTCTGGTTTTCTTTAAGAAAAATTGCCATCTTGCAATTTTACCAGCACTATTCCCACGTATTTTAAAAAATTTTAACAAAAATCGCTCATTATTTTTTACACCTGTATCAAGCATACCTATATAGGTATTGCATTTTACTTTAGGTACCTAAGTTTCGCATCACTATAAAATTTTATACATACATATTTATAATTTAAGAAAAATTTGATGCTAACTTTTTTTATGCTAATATGACATCGACACTGAAACTACCAGACTCTGTATCTCGGTTTGCGACGTTGCAGACTTCCCATATTACATTATTTTTTAAATGGAAAACTATTCAATGTGAATTATTGAAAACTTTTATGACTTTTCCTCTCTGAGCAAGGAAAACTCTGTGAAAATTTTGAAGAATGATATTGATTTGTTCTCCTTTAGAAAAATAAAGTGGGAGCGGAGATTTTTAAACACGGCGAACGAGATACATGCTCCGATAGTCACTGTAAATATTCATCTGTGTGGAAAATCCTTGAAACGGTTTCCTGCTTTTTTACAATTGACAGTTTTTTTACTTTACATCATGGTCTTAACAGTCAGTGCTACTAAGGCACCTAGTAATGGGTCGGAAATTGTAATTAGGGCTAAATTTGTTTTACTTTTTGTTTGAGCAGCCAGCAGCAGGAGCAAGAGGCAATGTAGGGGGAGGAGTGGAGGTGCGACGGCAAACGTGCGGCGCCTCTTGTTTTCCCTCGATCCCAACCATGTTACCATCAGCCACTCCCCCTCAGATCATTCAACAACAGCAACAGCAGCAACACCGCGATGACGGCTCTAGCGGCTACGGCAGCCCCGATTCAGAAACTTTCGAATCGACCACTCAATGATTTTGTTTCTTGACACCTGCTTCCATCCCGGTAAGTACTTATTTAACCAACCCAAGTACCCAAGTAGCACAGATTGCAATAAGTAGCAATTACATTGTAAAAATATTGCAATTCCACCGAGTGTTGTGTATGTTGCCTAGCTCCTATTTGAAGGGGCATCATTTATCGAGACATGTTGCAATAAAATTGAAATAAGTTGCAATTTTTCATATATCTCTGACACATGGAGCTCATTTTGTTGATTGTTTAAGATGGGCATAAATCGACTAAATGATGTAAAAGTATTGCAATTTAATTGTAAAAAATTACAATTTTAATAAAATCAAATAGGTAGCAATTTTATTTCAATATTTTCGTTGCACTGTGCTACTTACTTGGGGTATCAGTGATCGCGATAAGTTGTGATTTGATCGGAAAATGTATTTCTATTTTAAATAGGTGTCGATTTATTGCAGCATTATTGGATAAAAAAATGCGAAAAAAGTGTTATATCTGGTATCGCATAAATTTGCAATAAAATCGCCATTTTAGGTACTTATCGACGGCGATTTATTGCAATATTATCGAGCAAAAAATCATGATAAATTCAGATAAAATTCCGATTTTACAGAAATAAAATTGCGACAAGATCGAGGATAATCCCTCAGATGTTGACGATCCTAGCGATTTTATCGCCAAAAAATCATTAAAATATCGCAATGTTTCCGTCACTAAATGCTTGGGAACTGGCAGCAAAACTATGAAAAGTGTAATGATACGAGTATTACATTTCTACCTATTGTAGGCACTTACCGAATTTTTGGAAGAAAATGGGTAATACTTACTTAACATAATTCAAGACCACCTACTCTTAGTACTACTCTATGTGAGTCCAGACTTCAAAAAAAAGGGGCTTTAGCCAATTTCTACCATTTTTTGAAAGTACAATTGAATTATACCTACCCAGTGGAAAATGCCGAAAATTAAAAGAGTTACTTCTCACAAAACCAAAGGGCTCAACTTCAAAAAGATTTTATTTAAAGAAATCCTTATTCAGTATAAGCTTTATTAAGATGCCTCTATGTAACTTTTCTGTCCTCTTGCGTTTTGATTTTCAAATGAAACCTTTTTTTAGTCCATCGTAGGTCCCTAGCCCTCAAACCTAATTTCAGAGGGGCCTGCCCCCTGGAAAATTTGAAGCCTTCTCACCCCAGGTGTTTAATGTAGGTAAGAACTGCTGTATTATATATTTTTGTCTTTCTTATTGTTACAGGGCCAAGTCTCATCAAGTCAAAAACGGTGGATGCAATCATGCTCGTGCTTCGAAACTTCTGCTCATGTGCCCATGAAACTTCAGTTATAAAAACATCTTCGCATCTACTATTCCTCTTGCCAATAAGCTTCTCTCCTTAACTGTCTCAAAACTGAACCCTATAAACTAATGGTTTAATAACCAACTAATTCAATTACTCATTATAATTGAAACCAAAATTTAAGAGTTCGCAAATCGTTGCGAGGAAGTAATGCTTAGCAGCCTAAAACCTCAGTGCATATGTCTTTACCTTTTTGTACAGAACTTAAGAGAGGGAGGACCAAAAATCTTAAATCAATAGAATATTTGACAAGATCGTGGCTCTGTTCTAGTGATAAAAAATAAATAATTGGCAAATTTTTCCCGAAAAGCACCAATTTTTCAATCATTCCTATATTGCTCATTACTGTGTTTTCTGTAATGTTAACTTTAAATCCGTTTTTAAGTTTAATCTACCCTCAAAAATAATCCTCTTTTTACAGCTCTCAGTATATAATTTTAAAAATGCTGCCCAAATTAAGAATTGAAATGGTTGATGGGAACCAAATTTTATTTCCTGAGTCTGTTAACCAACTATGACTTCACCAAATATAATGCCATGAGAGTTTAATGTACTGAAAAAAATTTTAATACTCTCCAGGAAATTTTTAAGTATTGCATCTCTGAAAGGAAAAAAAAATTAGGGAGTGATTGAAACAATGCAGCAGCAAAGAAAGTCTGTTATGTGAGGGAAGCTGCCTTACATTCAAAAATAAGTAGGTAACTTGGCAAATTCTGCCATGCGAAGGAAAAACGCCGTATGAGCCTTCAGACGTTGCCAAGTCTCCTTCAATAAATACTGAATTTAATCTAAAATATCTGAAAATCTCAAAGAAAAATGTGCATGAACGTCGTCCAAAATACATGTTTTATCAAGGGAAATTTGGCAACTCTCGAATGTTTATACGGCGTTCTTCCTTAGCACGGCATAATTGCGATTGATCAAATTAAAGGACATCTTCATCAGAATCTGGTTCTTTTTTCTTTAAAAAAAAGAAAAATAAAAAGAAAAATAACGAAGCTCTGTCTATATAAGAGCGTCAAGTTTCGAAGAAAAATGTTGTTGATTGTTTTCGTTTTTATTTTTGTACTCATGTTCTTAGTTTTTAAATTGTACCATTTCCTCAAAGGGGGAAACAAGGAAGTCTTTTGTAGAAACTGTACCAATTTGAACCCTAGTCACTAGGTTTTAAAAATGTAACTAACGATGATGATAGCATAGTTATATCTCTTCGTTCTAGTCTCTTCCGCTGCTTGAAGCATTGGTTCAGTTTTGTACTCGCAGTTACAACTTGCACTTGTGTTGTGTCCCTCAGATGTGTTGGCTCACAGTATATCTGCATGTGGCCCGTGGCCATTTGTGTAATGAAGGTTTCACGTGGCAACACCAAGTTGAGACACTTTTGACTTAACTTGTGAATTGATTTTTTTCAGTACCTAAGATCTGACAGACTGGAAATAAAAACCTAAGCTAAGCTATCTCTGTCTCTCTCCCTCTCTCTCTCCCCCTCCCCTTTTGGCAGGTTTCCTGAATAATCCACATGTAGTAGCAAAAAAAAGATTACAATTTCGTAGACATACATACGTTACCTCTGTTAATGCCAATGCTCTGAGGGACAAAATGTTTCTTATTCCTAACTGTAAATATATTTATAAAATTAAGCTGTCCAATGTACCTACCTTCTGTCAGTAAAATTCAAAAATCTTGAACGAGAAATGTATCTACAAGCACGCACCTGTTGAGGATCAAAGCTAAAATAATAATCAAATTGAAAACTGCAGAAAGAAGATTCTTATAATTTCGACTGTGGATTAACCCGAAAATACTTTGACGAAGATGTCTCATATGGATGCATTGACATTGAATTCTTGATGAGCGTTGTCTAAAGATGCACTCTTCCCATCTTATTTTTGCTACTGTTCCATAACTGTTCTGAAGGCAGTCTTATGTTGGTATCTTTGATCGCTTACTTGGCTTGCTTATAGAAATATCAATGGCTAATCACAGAAATGTACAGAAATAGAAATTTTCAACATCTTGGTTGTGATTTTTGAAAATTACCACTATTTTACTTTTCACGAGCAAAAAGAAAGGGAGTTTAGAGGAAAAAATACCTAATGGAAATTTTCTAAACGATTTATTAACTGGTTTTCCAATTGAAAAATAAGGTCTGTAATGTTACAATTCGAAAATGTGGTTTGAAAGTTTATCCATTGATACAGTGTGGTCAAAGAGGCGACCAAGAGTCTGAAATCACAAATCTGTTGGTTAAATTCATGGCCTACGTAGGTGTGGTGCTTTGTATTCCATAAAGCTGATCATTTTATCTCACATTAAATCAAGATACATTTTCAATTTCAATTTTACTTCGGACGAATTTTGCTCAATTTTTCAATATGTTGTGTTTTGCTCCTGAATAGAGTAAATTAGGGCTGATAAAACGAAATTTCGGGCTTTTTGAGACAAGTTGAAATATTGAAAATTTACACTGCCACCAAACTAAGGAAAGCCTTTTCTCTTGCATAGACAAAGAAAATCTTAAAGAAAATTTTTTTGAAAGGCGGAAACAGTGGCAAAGCAATACCTTTGTTTAATAACCATAGTGCTCAGAAATTTCTTTTTTAAACCTGAGTTTCTTGAAATTGGCACGGGGAAGGTTGTAATGTTAACTCGGTGTGCTAAAGAGATTTTAATGGATATCAAGTCTAAAAACACCAAAATTTTACCGGGCCGAATTGCAATTGGAAATGTTCTTTGTCCTTTTCAAGATACGGAAAAGAGGCTTCATCAGGATTTTGCTCAGAGAGCATTCTGTATAAACTGTATGATACTGTGTAAATAACTAGGAAAAAACCCACTGATGTCACTGTACGATTTGATTGATAGAATTGTATAGAAGTTAAATTGCTATATTTTAAAGTCCTAGTCTTTATGATGCCAAATTAGGTATTTTTCTTTATTTTTATTACTTTATGATTAGGAATTCCAAGTTATTGTTTTTCTTACTTTTTATCGAAATGGACTCCCATAACGTTGATGTTTGTACATAATTTTTGTTTTTTCTCTCTTCTTTTCTCCTTTTCGAGGTGATCCTTCACACACTTTGCAATTTATTGTTTTCACGGTGGCGGTTTGAAGGGATTTTAGGTGCAAATTAGCCAACAGTGCTGACTCTCTTTCTTATTCTTTTTACTACGGATCGAAAGATTTGGGTCTTACATTGACGAAGCAGCAAATTGTTCCAAGATCAGTAGACCAAAGATTTTATGGAAAACGAACTCAACATTTATATTTTTACCTGTTTTTACTCGTAGTAATTTTATTCCAAAAAATACCTCAAATTGAAGGTACCAAAATGACACCCGCTTTTTGTCAAAAATTAAATCCTAAGTATCAGCCTGCTCTGTCAAAAGATATAGTAAAAAGAATACTGAAAGGACAAGTGTGTTAATGAGTTATCATTATGAAATTTTGATATCTGTTCACAAGATCTGAGCTTTCAAGATACAGATCTTCTTTTTGAAGTGCAGTCATTTCCATCAACTTTTAACTTCCTATGGAAACTACCTGTATAGACTGAATAAGTGGTTACATCAATTGACATATTGCCATTAAATTGCGTCGCCTTTCAAGAATGCAGCAGAATGATTGATATCAAAACAGTGCATATTTGTTCTGGGTGGAACCATCGAATATTTCAAATATGGAATGATGCAATCCCTAGATCAGTCTATATTGTGTCATGAAATGCGCCTGTTTTCCAATCTGGCAGCACCTACTCATTAATTTATTTTTTCTGTTGTTGAGATGCTTTGGGATGCCCCATAGATTTTCCTCCTCTGCGTTAGGAACACTTTTTCAATACTAATTGCAATGTTTCAATTCTTGAATTTTTTTATCTCTAATGGGTACATTAGTTACACAGTTGACATTTATACCCCCAGAACTTAAACTTGATCATTGTAGGTCTGTTAAATGAATAATCAATCATTTAGATTATTCCCTAAGAAATCCCATGACTGTTGTGCATTTTCTATTCTAGTTTGATTCTCTGTCTCCCGCATATTCACAAGTAAATCTTATTTTATGAGTCTTTTTAGTTCCAATCATGTTTAAAAAAAATTCTTTATTGCGAGTAGCTGTCTGTATGTAGAGGCAGTAATCATACTGTATTACAAAAAGATCTCATGAACATCAAGAGCCTAAGAAGAGATCTCAGCAAGCAAAAATCTAAGTTCACAATTAATTATGAGTCTACTATTATGTAGGAGGTAACAAAAATGCATTCCCAGTCTGAATAATCTGTCTGTGAATTCCATACAAAATCAAAGGTACAATCACATGGATGTCTCAATGTGGAAGTGACTGCGTTAAGTAAAAGATGAGCGTTCTGTGTTCATTTCAGTAATGTTGGGAAATTTTGGAAATGTCAACACTGAAATAAAATCTAAAATCAATGGTTTATTCTAATTCTGACTGCTCCTTGCTCAGTGTTCTGCTGAAGTTAAGGCGATATGGACCGACTTCAACAGAAATGTACCAAGTCACATTAAACTTGGACTGAGAAAAATAGGTTTAAGTTTTATTCCTTATGAGCATTGATGTTCAGGACACAGTTCAGTGACTATTTTCATGTTCAAAATATTTTTTCTCGACTTTGAAAGTTTGATGGGAGAAAATTTACGAATAGTTGAATTTAAAACCACATATGTACTAACAGCTCATTTTTGTCCAAAATGTGACTTAGCCTGATTCTGTTAAAATCCGTCCATATGATGGAAACTAAATTGTTATTACACTCTGCCAATTTAATTCTTTTTATGTTACAGTTTTAAAAAAAATGTGCTTTTATGTAATCTTGAACTCTTTGAATGATAGTCCTTAAAAGACTTAGTGTTTTGTTACAAAAGAGATTGAGTAAGGTGGACCTGTAAGCCCAGAGGTATACGAATCAATAAATATTTTGTTGTTTTCAAAATTTTGTTCCTTGTGTCAAACATTTCTTCCTTCAGGAAACAATGGGGCTTTTCCATAACTGAATGTCTCACTTCGAGAAAAATTCAACTCAAAAACTGAGAATTTACTGGGAAATGAAAAAAAAATTGAGCTAAGGATCTGTGAGGATTATATTCCTACCAAAACGAAAATTTGATGCGAAACTCGAGAGGCAGTTGGAAATCAATAATTTTTTGGGAGACAAAAAATAAGTAAATTAAAGGTCTGAGATAGATTTGCCCGCTAATACATTTTGCTTGAAAAATCGTCAATTGGGCTGTCTCTGAAAGACATCCAGATGTTTGTGCCATTAAAAACTAGACATCAAGACCAATCCACACAGGTCAGTCATTCCTGTGGACGAGTTTTGGTACCCTACTGCGCAGTGACGTACTATTGAGTGCTTGCAATGTATTTCTTATGGGAGCACCCATTGTGACGTACTATTGAGTGCAGCCGAGTTAGGGCCGGGCGGGGAAGTGGCTTTCAAAAAGATGCGCAATGACTGACCTGTGTGGATTGGTCTTGCTAGACATAAGAGGTCATCAACATTTTAGGAGGAAGTATACATGAGTGCTGAGGGAGAAAGAGTGAATAAATGAATAAATACATTCTACCCGAACTCTTAAGCTTTAAAAAGGAGTAAGTCATTTCGTCACCTTCCAGCCAAAGTATTACAAGCGAAACTTTTGCCGAGGCTTTATTTTTCAAAACTTTTCAAACTTGTCCAATTTTCCAGAGAAAAACTAATGAACAGAATTACCTACAAATATTTCATATTTTTTTTGTCATCAAAATCTGTCTCTGAAATTTTTATAAAAATATGTGCAAAGCTTAAAAGAAAAGATAAAAACAATGTTGAACTGTCCAACAACATAGCGTTTAATCTTGAAAGGCACTTGTGATACTTCGGCCAGAAGGTGGGGTTTTTCTGCTACTGATGCCTATTGAACCTTCAATAATAAATACACATCCACAAAAATGGCAGAAGTGGAAAACTATGTGCATTTATCTTTCAGATAAGAAAATTCAACTATTTAAAGGAAAAGAAGTCTTTATTTTAAACACATAATTCTGATTCCACTATCCGAAAAGACAGTACATAATCTTATATCACCTAGAGGAAGCTTTTGGCTGAGTATTGGGTGAAATACATTTTGATCCTATAAAACTTATGTGAACATTAATATTTAAACAAAAAAATTCTTGGCGAAGAACAAGAAACCTTTGATCTTGAATTTGATTGACACAAAACTCAACACCTCTTAATCACAAAATGGTTCGTGCAGCCCTAGCAATGAAAATTCCAGCACTTTTTTAAGAATTTCCAAGACCTTTTTCAGAATATTTTCATACACGCAGAGTCTACCCCAGTACTGTAATTTTTAATGATAAAATTTCGGTCTTGTTTTATGTTTTTGTTAACTTCGCTCGAAGCTTATCAACACAGTACGCATCAGACAGTTGGGCATTGCAGAAGTACCGATGACACTGCTGCCTCTATTGTAGCGAGGACTCCGAGTCTGCGTCAGCAGTTGGGACTCTTTGAAGGTGGATCGCGATTCGTGAAATTCCAAAGGATCTATTAATTATCAAATGCTATATTCTTTCTTAACAAACATTATTTGGTGACAATTAGTGAAGAGTAAAATTCAAGTGCGTATCAAGGCCACACAAACCATGCATGATTTTTCATCACTTCTAGAAAAGGCACAGATGATCAATGACACAAAAGAGACAAAAACCGTAAGATGTAGACTTTTATACAAAAAAACCCAGGAGGTACGAGGGAATAAAGCATCACTGAGTGAATGGAGTTCTTGCAAACACTAGGGGTTTTCAATTTAGTGATTGCTTCCTAAGTAAGATTGCAAGACAAACACAATGATGCTGATGGTTTTCTCAGAAATCAACTCCTTAAAAAAAGCTCTTAAAGAGAACTCTATCGATTATTTAGCATTATCTATGAATAGCGAGTTGAATTGAGTAAAGGTGTTCTCTTTCATACGCAATAAGAGATCTTCTCCATTATTGCCTCAACTTAAAGTTTTTTTAAGAGCTCTCGAGTTAAATTACGATGAGTATCGTGGCACAATTGTGTTCCTTGAGAAAATTTTCTAGATAACCGGTTCAATTGTTAATCCCTCTCTGCATCCAACGATTCGACAAGTGCGATTGATCTTGGCACAGCTACCTTTTTCTTCCTACCACCCATTTGTAGCACCTTTTCCTCAGAGGGAAAAATTAATGAAGGATAAAAAGAAACATACATTTCTAAAAAGTAGCTCACATATACATACAGCTTAGTGACAAAACTCATAAGGACGTTCTTTTTTAAAAAAAAAAAAGAACAAAGTAGTTGTCTTATCAACACCTTTGCTGGGGATTCTTTTTGTGTAGAGAAGTTGGGGGCCATATGTAAAGTAAACACAAGATATGTAGTTAAAAATGGCATTAAGTTATGCTAAGATATAAACCATTTGGGAAATGAGGAACGGCAAGTTGACACAGTAAAAGATAAAGGCAAAGTAAATGTGTTTCCAAACATCAAACATGGCATCACCACTAATTTAGTAAAACTTACTTTAAAATAGGTAATCCACCGTTCTTTTTCAGAATTTGATGAAATATGATCTAAACATTCGTAATACTTGCAAAAAAATGTTGAGTATTATAAATTAAATGAGGGTATCATTCCCCCCCCCCCCAAAAAAATGAAACAGGAGTTTATGGTGGCAGTTAGCTTTAAAAATACTCAGATGAAAGATTAATACTGTCTCTGATAAAATACTGCAATTTTGGGATGAGTCCCTTAATCATGGAGATTAAACCTCCTTGCTGGATTCGGAAAAATCTATGATCTTTCAAACTTACCATGCGTTGTTGACAAAAAGGTCTACTAAGTTATACTTGACATTTGCAAAAACAGGCTAGTAAATCTAAAAGTAAAAAATAAAATAAATTTCAACGTATGATTTAACAAAGCAGTGAAGGAAGATCATCATACAAAATAATTACATTATGTATATTATGACTCTTTTTCTCGACTGCTTGGAATTGATATCTAAAAAATTTGCGTTCAAGACAAAATAGAATATTTTCCAAAATCTTACTTCAACAAATACTGTTTGTGTACATAACAGCACTAGAATTAATTTTACGGAGAAAATACAAAGTAAAATACTTAAAGTTTATCTTCAGCTTCAGGCTCAAAAAAATCCACAACGTCTCACCGCTAAAATTTTACTCTAAAACCAACGATAATGTTGATAGTATGATAGATATAATGAATCCTGATACTCAAAAGTTGTAGCAGCCTATCTCAAGAATTCATGAAGAAGAAAGAAGCTTCAAGAGTTCAACAATAGAAGCAAAACATGGATAAAAATTTTTGCTTTTAGGACTTAGTGAGTGAAAGAAGGAAAGCAGCTCAGCTGGGAGGGATGACTGAAATTACTGATAGTGATTACTTGTAATTGGTCCATTTTAGATCATTTCACTAAACCCTATTTTTTCCACTATCAATTTTTTTAGAGTTTGTTTTTAGCTTCAGAAGGCAACTGTCGTTGTGTAAGTTAAAACAAAATACTACTACTTGCAATCATTGAGTAAAACTTTTCATAGAATTTCCTAGAATTTGTATGCATATGCTAAAGACTGAGAGGATGCTGCACAAACTCAAATAGCGTAATCTCAAAAATAACACAAAGCCAAGGGCAGATTTTTTACAAAAAATCACTGAAAATTTACATTAAAGGTGTAAGCGTAAGTTAAAAATACTGCTCTGATCATATTCATGCATAAAAATAGTGAATACCACTTTTCTAGAAATGAGACCGTCCATGGAAAAAGTCAAAATAGAGGTGTTGTTGCGGCCGCTTGGAAGGAGGTTTTATGAACGCTTCAATAAACGTGAAACTCCTAAAAATTTGTCGAACAAAACTGGATATATAATGCTTTAAAGTAATTTGAACAAAAAAAAATATACATTTGAGAAAATGATGCTTGATGATTTCGCCTTCTATCTTCAGGACTTGAAATTGTTGGATCATGATACCACAACATGACCTCTTATAGCATAAAACTGATCTAAACTCATCACTTGTTCTTTGGGATATGAAAGAAAATGTGTTGATGAAAATTTGATTTCTCACTTTTCCACCCACTTGATAAGAATTTCTCTCCAAAACAATTGACCTCTGTAAGACTAACTGTCCCCCTTGGACGGTCGCAAATAATGAAAAGGATGATAAGTAATAATTAGGCCTACATATAAAATAGATTATTAAAAATACATTGATAAAAAAATAGAATAACGAGAATATCTGATGATCTTAGATTTTGGGTAGCTAAATCTAGAAAAACATTGCGATTACAAACAAAAATTTTTTTTAAAAAAATGTTGATAACAAGATAAATGTACGGGAAAGAAATAGATGAGTAAAAAAATAAAATACATAGGTATAGAGTAATTTGAGATACTTTAAAGTTCTCAAACCTTTCAGAGATCGCTTATAAATTCGACAAGTTTAAATGAAAGCCAGCATGCATTTTAGAAATATATTGGCACAAAGACATTAATTAAGTGTAAATTCAAAATCATGAATTCCTCATTAGATGGCCGGTTATATTATTAAAACATTTCCATCAAAAGCAGCACACATCTAACTGTCAATTGCAAAACACAGAAAAATGCAAGAATATCTATTCTAGAAGATTTAAATCTGTGCCCATAATTTTAAGGGACACATCAAAAAAGGGCCTTTTCCCCCTGTTTTTGGAGTGCCTGGGGATTTTGCGCTAAAGACGTACTCTAGTGACCGATTTCCATAATTAAATTTTTTAACGTTTAAAGAGTAACAAAACTTGGGTAATTTTAAAAAAGACGAATTAACCATATTTTTTACCTCAGACTTCTAACTCTCTAATTGTTGCTCATCATTTTACTTTGATAATTTCATTTGAAGGATCCAATACAGAGAAAGTTCCTCCTTAAAAATGAGCACATGCTAAATTATTTTACTGAGAGCCAAAATCTGCCGGTGTTTTTTAAACAATTCATGCTTAAATGAATCAAATATTATGCAAAAATCATAATCCATCTAAAGTTTCTTGATAAGTACCATTTATGTTGCAAAACACTTATTGCACGAGCATTACAATTAAAAATTATTTTTTGGCAAATAAATTAAAGACCTCAGTGTTATCAGCTGATTATCAGCAAAATTTTCTAATGACAGACTTTCAAACTTTGTGTCAAGATCTATTGGAAGATCTCATAACAAAGTATGTTGTGAATTTCCTATTGATTTTTTCTATTTTGAGATTCAAAAGAGATGAGTTTCTCCTCAAGTAAAAATTCGGGTAAAACATTTAGATTGGAAGGAATACTGAAAATGTAAATTTGGAAGTCACAGCAGGCTTCCAGCCTACATGAAATCATATGCAATACCCTTACCTAATACACCCTTCACGTCTAATTAAACCTAATGACTAAGTACAAAATAAAGTTAGAAAACGACCCTTGTAGCCTAGAAACGTTCTCTGAAAATTTGTCTACATTAATAGGAAGAATTTTTTAACTCTGAGTTCAATTTTTGGTGCAATTCAAGCTAAGACCAGCAATCTTTCCTTGGTAACCTGGCAAAGTTAAAAAATCAACGATTAAATCAACAAATCTAAATGCACTGACGATCAAAGCAGGAGTGCAAAAAGTGCTGAACGTTTCGCGCGATCCGAGATTGTGTTCTCACTCTCCCAAATTATTTAAAGTGATGACCTCTTTTTTTCTATCTTCATCATGGAAAATTTGCTCTAAACTCCTGAAAAATCAAAATGACCGAATACTCGGCAGAATAATCCGAAAACAAAGTGTTGTTTTGGACAAAAATTTCCTTACGGATCACACGATCCGCAGATCATATGATCAGGCAGATTTTGCATTCCTGCATAAAAGGGAATAAGGCTGTTGCAAAAGCCTAAAGTAGCCTGAAATTTACATGTTCTAAGAGTGAATTTAAGCACATTTCTGAGCTTAAAATAGCTAAAAACAGCTGTTTTGACTTTAAAATAATATGCTGAAAGTTATACACAGTAATAAGAAGAATGTTTCTCAATGACCTGAAGGTTATGGTGTCATAAAAGGCAATGACACATGGTTTCAACCACCATGAATACAATGTAACATGGCCGCCGCACAATTCATATCACAAATATACGATTCCCTTGGGGAAATGGCAAAAAAATTTCACTTCAAATAGCGCTGATATTGCGAGCATAGTAAGGATACATATTCTCTCCTTACAATTGCGACCAGAAAATAAATTAACAGGCGCACATGAAAGTATACGTGGCAGTTGGCAGTCAATCTCTCTTGTGTTGTTACGAATTCTATTGGTGAAATATTCTTTTCTAATTGAAATGGGGTAAAATTTTGAACATAATTTTCTCCAATGAAAATTGATGAAATAAAAGGTGGAAAAATGCAGGTATCCTCTTTTTTTAAGTGCTTTCCGAGAATGAATTAAAACAAATTGTGTGACAGCCCTATTCTTGCAAAAAAGGAGGATGCCAAGATCGTGTCTCTCAAGAGACAATCTCCTTGACAAACTCAACTGTACAAGTCTGGCATCAAAAACAAAGTTATTATTTTTTTTTGGATTAACATCAAAAATCAGATTTGATTCTGTGATATGTCCTGATTTCTTTTTTAATCCATAGAACTGTTTATCACCTGAACAAGCTCATCTCTCATAATTTGGCAAATATTAACAAAACCTGCAAGGAAATGAGGGTTGTAAAGTATCCGTACGCAAATCAAAACTCCCCTTGCAGCATCACAGTGAACTGGAGCACTCCTCCCCATATTCGTTGATTTTAGGGCACAATGGACCACTAGACAGACATGGTACAAAAAGAAATATTCTAATATATGTTTCCTGATTAAAATTTCACATGGAACTTGATTTGTGCAGCAAAAATTACTGAAATTAACACCTAATAAAGATATTTCATGTTTCTTGACGCAAAAATTCAAACCTCCTGCTGATGAAAACTCAAAAGTCCACGTGAGTCAAATTTTGCACTAAACATTACCATGACAGTCTGTGAGATATAAAAATCTGGCAACCTCAATCTTGATGCTTTGGCTCAGCAATATACCAAGTTACATATAGTTTGAACTATACAGGGTGGGAAATGAATTGTGTTCGATTAAGAAGCCTGTCGAAACCTTTGTGGTATGTGATTTGCCTCATGTGGAGTATTGAGTTTCTAGTGACTGGGCAATTCAAATTTCCCTTTACCAATGTAAAAAAAACGCTTTCCAGCCACAGTGGAAACGAGAGGTAGATTTCGACTAATCGTTTCTAGAAAACAATTGCGCCTAATGAGCCTGACAGGTCGGAAAATCGTCCCCCTTGAACTTGAGATTTTTCGGATAAGGGGTGGTTTTAGAGGGTAGGTGAATATAGGTTGTTTCGAAGGCCACGACGAGACGAGTTTTTTGACGTATCACCGACTAAGATCGGACGAGTTTGAAAAATCATCCCCCTTTGGACTTGAGATTTTCCGGATAAGGGGTGGTTTCAGAGGGTAGGTGAATATAGGTTGTTTTGAAGGCCACGACGAGACGAGTTTTTGGACGTATCACCGACTAAGATCGGACGAGTTTGACAAATCATCCGGACGAGTTTGAAAAATCATCCCCCTTTGGACTTGAGATTTTCCGGATAAGGGGTGGTTTTAGAGGGTAGATGAATATAGGTTGTTTTGAAGGCCACGGCGAGACGAGTTTTTTTACGTATCACCGACTAAGATAGGACGAGTTTGACAAATCATCCGGACGAGTTTGAAAAATCATCCCCCTTTGGACTTGAGATTTTCCGGATAAGGGGTGGTTTTAGAGGGTACGTGAAAAAAGGTTGTTTTGAAGGCCACGACGAGACGAGTTTTTTGACGTATCACCGACTAAGATCGGACGAGTTTGAAAAATCATCCCTCTTTGGACTTGAGATTTTCCGAATAAGGGGTGGACCGATTTTCACGAAAAGGGAAACTTGATCTAAATCTCATAGCAGTGAAGAACCATACTTAGTTTCGTTTTGATCGTACTGATAGTTCCGGAAAAAAACGGTTGCAAAGGTTCGTTAGATCCCAGTTATATATATATATATGTGTGTGTGTGTGAGGGTGTGTGTGGGTGTGTGAGGGTGGGGGTGTGTGTGTGTGTGTGTGTATATATCATACTTTTTTATGACCTACATTTTTCAACTCAGGGCTTCAGGATCGATGCTCTTTGAGCGAAAATTCCCGAAAATTACGAGGTCGTACCGTCTGCAATAGGTAGATATTTCTTCAAAATCTACCTAATAAAAACATTGATATCTTAGTTAGGAGTTGATTTCAGTAATTTTTGATGCAAGAATCTCGTTCTATGTGAAATTCTGGTTAAAGGACGTGTATTAGAATGCTTCGATTCGTACATTGTCTAGTGGTCCATTTCATCTGAAAATCTTCATTGCATGCTTTAAAACAGAAAACAGGCTGTTAATGAAATAGTTGATTTAAAATAACTTAAAGCACAGGCTCAAAAAACGCAAACATACTATTGTGACTGCTGATTCACAGTATTCCTTTTTAAAAATTTCGAATACTCCAAAAAAAGTAAATTTTATATCATTGAATAGAGATTTACTCACAGATCAAAATTCATCGTGCCTGGCGAGTGCTTCACCAAAATCAGTTGCTTGAGATCCTACAAACAGGTCGTATTTAGAGAGAATTTCGTCTTTCGTAAGCTTCTGATCAGCATCTGCGTCCGATTCATAAATCAAGTGACGTGCCTCGGCCTCTGCATGATCAAAATCTGATGGGATGATCCAGTTTTTCACCTAGCAAGAAGAAGATAAATTTTTATCAACAGTTACATTGTCCTCTTTGTATGCACAAGAACGAAGTTGTATCAATCCTTAAGAAAAATAATTTAAAAATGTTCACTAACCGTTATCCAGTCTGGCCAAAAAAACAAGCAAAAAAACAATGAAATGTGAAGGGTTCAAACCTCAGACATCTCAGATTGCTATGATGATAGCTCTTCAAATAATTTACACTCGTGACTTGTTCTCTAAAATCAGTTCTTACAACGACCTGCAGAAGATGCCTTTACAAAGAGTCATGAAAACCCACTGTCCAAAACACTGCCACTATGATTGTTTTGACTGGGTGCAACTAACTAAAGGACGGTCACCTTGACCTGCCTGACAGTGAATTAGTTATTGCCAAAAAATAAAATATTCAGATTTTGAGACCATTTTCACACTGAAAGTTTTTCAAAATCCAAGCCACAGCTAAAAATGTCAGATAATTTAAGTTCAAAAACCCAGTTACAAGAAAAATCAAGAAAAAGGGGCAGCTGACAGGTCGTATTGTCGCTATTTCAAATGCATCCTGTGTGATTAAAAAATCAAAATTACTCCACTTTATTCAGGAGTTATGCTGAATCAAACTTCATTCAACCGTTTTAAATTAGAATCCACCGGGACTTTTTGAGGGGTATTTTGTAGGATTAAATGACTGCAATATCTGATAATTCCAAATTTGATTTAGGATATCCTCTGAGAGGAGTAGCAGATGTTTATACCTCTTCTTGGTCCATAAATCCATCTCCATCTTTGTCTCTGTACAATGAAAATTGCTCTTTTTCGCTTCTGACCCAATCTGGCTCTTCAAGACTTTCTTCGAGTCCTCTGTACATGTCACCTAAAACAAAAACTTTAGAATAAATATGTACATTGAATTTTAAGAATGTTGGCCTACATCTGTCACACTCTTCTTAAAAGAAAAAAGAACAAAATGGGGAGGGGGAGGCAGAATTAAGAAGTAAAAAATGGGTTCAGTGTAATTAAAATTAGAAAATCCTTCCTCCCCCCTTCCTTGATGTTGGCAAATTTTAAATAAGTTCTTTATTTCTTAAAGGGGACGGCAACCCTAAAATTGAAAGTGAGATAGTGTCAAAAATTGAAGCGGGAAGGTATAAGAAGCAAATTGGCTCGGTCCCGAATGAAAAATTCGCAAAATCGGCAGAGATATGAAAGATTGATAGTCTGACAGGTGACATCATGCGCTCCCGGTGCAACTGCGGTTCACACGCACACAACTTGGAGTCTGGCGCGTTTACTGTCTAGCGCTGCGAGGTTCCCTTAATAGTCACACCTAAGCGAAGAAAAAAGAGTCAGCAAGGATTGAGCGAGATCGGGGCGAACTAACAACTTGTTGCGAACACATGTTGGCCCGTTAAAACTTGAGACAGAATGCAGTGTACATACTGCAAAGTGCTAGACGGAGCTCATGACACCACGCACTCAGCTGTTTTTTCGCAACAGCGGCTGAACAGATGCAGATATTTGCAAACAGATTTCGGCATCGTTCAGTGCACACTTTTTTTCATAGATTCAGCCAGACTTGTTTTTAAGGTTGCCATCCCCTTCAATATCAGATACATTTCCTCTAAAAATTAAAGGCCTGAAACAAATTCCTCTCTACTGCATTGTCAAGTTTTAGCTTCAAAATGTCTTCAAATCTCTTACAGAGAAAATGATATTTAGACTTGATTTGAGGTAGTTTTTACTTTGAGGATGCTTTGAAAATTAAAATGTCAGATCAATTGAAACTTGCTATGATGGCATTTTTTCTATATTTTCAATTGCTATTTGTTTTTAAATCATAGAAAAACATGCCAGTTTTTCATCCTTCGGAAAAAATTACTCATTTAATTTTTCGAACCTGCTTTGTTAACTTTTGATACATTGCACATTCAGATAAACTATTCTTTTGCAAGTTCTGACCCTCATATCCCGACTCTTTGACACTGCAAAATGTTGTCAAAATATTATCTCACAGAGTGATATTTATTTGAAAATTAAAACTAAAGAAAATGTCAACTGCTATTAGAATTTGAGAGTCCAAAATTAAACAATCCTTGTTGAGTTACTGTGACTCACAGGTGAAAGGTGAAGATGTTCGTATAGCTCTGCTTAGAAAAGGTCAATTTTAGGTTTTTCAAAGCTGTTGAAATTTTTTAAAGAATCTGGTTTTCTTAGAAATATTTCACAATTTTGGCAAAATAAAGGGTTTTCGACATCTGGCCATGCCGAGGTGCTTAGAACTCGCAAACTAAGTGTCGAAATCAAGTTCAGATTTGAATCCAAATCATATGATGATTTTCATTTACATGAATTAATAACTTTTATTCTCAAGATGTTGGCTAGATTGAATTCAAAGAGAATAGGCTAGATCTATAATTAACTTTACAGATTAACATGCTCTCTCAAAGAATCAACTGGTGAATTAATAATATATTGCAACACCAATATTTATTTGTCATGAAATAGTAAATTTGTTCTTTGAAAGTGCTTTTATTCATTTCTTCTCTAAATGTTGTATCAAACATGTTGAGGCTTGCTCCGTACTAGTCCTGGAAAATTATAAAGGGTTAACTACCCACCAATATACTCTTCCAAAGACACTTTTCCATCCTTATCCTTGTCGATATCTTCCATTGTTTCCAACACAACAATATCTCTCATGTGTCCAGTTTCTTCAGGATGCAGAAAAGCAGAGAATTCATCTCGGTCTAGAGCCCCATCACCATTCTGGTCCGCTACGCCCCATCTTCGTTTGTCTCGGCTTATCATGTTCTTGTAAGAGAATCCTCGTTCATCTTCTTTCTCAGCTTCTGTAGCATCCATGTCTGAGAATAAATAAACACAATTTAATTGCAAATTCAATTTGAAGAACTGAAAAGTTTAGATAAAACCCGCCGACACAGCAAGACAAAGCTAATAAATCAAATCGAAGGTGATGAATCAAAATGCGACAGTGCAAAGAAAGTCTATGATGCCAGATATTAGCTGTGAGTGAACCAAATTTCCCAAACTTCCTTTTAATTCATTATTCGTTAAAAAAAAAATTGCCAAAATTTCGTATCCTTTAGAATCACTTGAGATGCTAACAAAAAAAGATGATTACTTTTAAAAATTTTTGTTGAATTGCTCCTTGTGCCATTCTACATTTGTTGAAATCTACAGATTGCAAGATTTGACATATTCTGCACCCCTGTCTCTCATGAAGAATACGGCAATGAAATTCAGCTCACCTTCCATGAAACCATAGACCACTTTTTTGTATTCTTCCCACAGGATTTTATCTTTTCCTTCTGGGTTGTGAGTTTTCCACTGGCTTTCCACATCGCTCGTAATATACCTCCGTTGAGTATACTGAATCCACCTCTTTAGCTCATCTTGAGACACGAATCCATCTTTGTCTTGGTCAATTTTATCGACAATTAATCTGTAAAAAAAATCACACTTGAAGGTACTTACAAAACCAGCACTGGAGATTTAGTCAAATTCTGAGACTTCTAGATTTTACAAAAGATACAATTTCTTAAAATGGAAAATGAATTCTTCTTAATATAGAGGGAATTTGGTATATAGAGCTAGAGTCGCAATAGCAAGTATGGTAGTAGCACGGATTAGATAGAGTAGGAAATTAGGGATGGTTTGTGTTGAGGATTGAATGAAATTAGCCCTCATGGGCTTTTTGAAGTTAACAAACAATTTTTAAAAAAAAAGTATAATCCGAGATTTTCTGAGGTTTCACCTACTTTGCAGAAAGAATAGTGGTTACCATGGCTAGTAAATAACACAACCTAATTTTTGCCCAAACACTCTGAGTGAATGTACCTCTCCATCATTCTGGTTTTACCTGGACCCACACTCTTGCAACCCTGATACTGGTTATGGAGATATTTGCAGATATTTACAGCAGTAGATGCAGCACAATTTTATTCTGCATTTGTGATACAATGTGCATGAGCAGTGGGGTGGTTCTTATTTTCAACTTTTTCGATACTTTAATGGCTGACCCCTTGAAGAATTTAAAAATATAGTAGAGATCGTTGATTTAGCATATAGTCAAAATAGAGATCAGGCAAAAAAATATTTTTGAAAAAAAAATATTTTATGCTTTTCCATCTATTACCTAACTGCACTACAGTGACACCTCAAAAGCCTTGTCTCTTTCAGAACCAAATACTGATTATTTAATGTTTCAGTAGAGGTACAAAACTTGATTTGCACTCACTTTTAATCCGAAAAGTAGTGTGAGCAACTGAATTGGTTGTAGCTCAAGAACATAGACTTCTGATTTCTGTGAGGAACTGCAAGGAATTTCTCTTGTAACACGAAAAGACTTTTCCCTTCCTTTAATAACACGCAGCTGATATTGAACTTAATGCTCCTGAGGTTACAGAAACAGCAGAATGAATAGTAGATACAAAAGATAGAATGGTAGTAGCTACATACCCCAATCTTTTTTTGCTTTCTTCAGGCGAAAGCTGGTCAAACGTTTTGGCATCTTCTCCCAGGAACGCATCGTGGTCATAGTCTGCATTGTGCTCCTCATTGTGATAATGCTCTTTGTCGCTTAAGTCCTGATTCGAAAAAAAATAAACTAATATAAAATATATTGCAGGAGGAATTTAATGAAAAGCCCGCTTCACTTGCTGAGTGGCATTCTGGAAAATTGACCCTAAATATTTTTAGGTAATTTTCAAAGGAATGAAGAAGAGTTGAAGATCTGGTTTTGGTTTTTCTGTCTTGCTGATCCGCATGCCGATGGTGAGACTGCAAGAACGCGTGACTCGATTTTGTGACACTTTAGATTTATTGTCATAATTTCTGGAGCTCGCGCATCGTACATTAAAACAAACGTCAAAGTATTGTTTATGTCACCACTTATTAATGGTATCATCTGACTGCATATATTTACCTGTTGAGCGGTGCGAATTCAGAGCTTATCAGAGATTGACGTTTGTCTCAAAATACGATGCGCAAGCTCTATTTCAAATGAATAAATACTCAACATCTTTTCTTGAAAACTTCCCTGATTTTTCTTTCCAAAGTAAAGCATATTCTTCAGAAATTTCAAGCATTGTTGTCGATGCCTTCTCTCTTGATGAATTATAATGAAATACCGCAAATGAGATGTAAGTTTCTGCTGTTTCCACATTGATATGGAGCTTGGTAGAGTTACATTGATTGAGAGAAAATAATATCACAATGGGGAGAATGATTTGCAATGGCTCTTCTATCATGGGGGATTCTAGAATTGCCAGGTCTGAAGGTAACTTTTTTCCCACTGAATAAACATATTCTGAGGTCGGACTGAATAACTGAGACATAGATGTTTATTAATACATTTTTAAAAGATAGCACCGATTAAATCCTTAAAAATTCTTCGGATAATGAAATTAACCAGAGAATTTCATCCTTGCAAATGGAATAGTGAATTTTACCCACGCAAATCCAGCAGATCATATGGTGTCTCTTTTTTTAAGTTATTCTTCTGATCCTCTGTAAGATTACATTCGCAACGTTGGATCTCACATTTGTGTTCTTAAGAAATATCACCACTATTTGAGGGTTTGTTGAAGGCAATAGTCAAGTTGTCTTTCAGTTCCTCATACATTGTCGCCTTCTCAGACGAATGGTCTTATATGCTTTGAGATAGCGCTACCTATCTTGCTTAACAGGAAAGACAAGGGCCTACTTATATAAAGCAGCAAGAGTGGAATTAATATAAATACCTTGTTCAAAGTTCTATCCTTGTTTTCGTCAGCATGCACATCATTAAATGGACTGAGCACTAAAATTATAATTAGCGCACTCCAGATGAGGCCGGCTTGTAAATTTATCATTGCGCCTGGAACTGTAATAAACATTAGATTATAAACGGAAATAAAAGATTTCACGAATTTCCAAAAAATATTACAGCTGCGCCACAAAGATTCAGGAGCTTACAAGATATGAGCATAAATTGTCATTGACTGTATCCTCCGACCAACCGTTTCATCGCTGATTGTGAGTAAACTAACTGCCAAGAGCATTGTAAAGACCTTGCTTAAATTAGAATGAATTACAAGATTATTCAGAAAGGAAGCCGCTCACGACAATTGTAACTTTACAATCACACCCACGTGTAGAATACGAGCGGCACCGTTCATTCTAATGAGAGAGAGAAAGCTGCTGACTGCAATCTATGCTGGTTCATCAGATGAGTTGGAATTTTAGAGACGCACGTGCCGCAGGTTTAAAATGGAGGAAACAAAACTCAGATACTTACAATTCAGAGAAAAATCCTTCATCAAGAAGTAAAGAAATAGAAGAAAAGGGATATATTTAACTAGTATTTAATAGCGTGAAAACATACGAATCGTAATCCTACGAGATAAAAATTGGTGAGATAACAAATAAAAACAAACAAATCTGTTCGATTTGCCACCACTGGGATAGAAGTCAGCAGCCAATAGGAGGCTCTGGTTCAACTCATTTCATTTCATTCTAAAAGCGGAACTTTACGGCATATTGCAACGGCTATGTGCAATGGAAACCATAGGCCGGAAACGGGAGATGGAACAGAAAACCCCCTGTTTGGAAGCGGAGCCCTCTGGTTTTAATACCGGAAATGATAATAGTGGTAACATACTACATAACTAAATATTTCACGCATTTATTTTAACAGTCCCCCTCCCCCCCCCCCACCTTCGAAAGCTACACGGTCCCAGACTCCCAGCCAAGGGATCTAAGGGATTTTGCGAAATGAATGCGTGGCACAGCTTTCATCAACTTAAAGTGAAAACAGCAGCTCAAAAATTGACCCTGAGACACCTGTTTTTTAAAATTTTGGGGAAGTCTCCCGCACTCCCTATAGATCACCCAAACTTCCTTTGGAGTTGACGGAGCCCTGAAGATCCTACCAAGTGGGTTGTATTTACGTGCCCTCCTTGGGCACCCTCGATGAGGTACCCCCTCCCCTCTGAGCGAAGTTCCTACTTCCGTCCATCGATGGCTGAAGAGCGATACCGCCCATCTGCAAACTGAAAATTTTATAGGACGAAGAGTAAACTTCGCCATTTTTGTGATTTTGATGTTAGATTTGCATTATTTTCAAGCATCATAGCGTCAATACAGCGCTCCCCTACAGAATTGGAAAAAAAACAACTAAAAAACAATAAGTTGCGTTTTGCTACTCTGTAGAATGCGGCGAAGTTGCTAGCTCATTATGGTCCAAATCGTCAGTTAATAGGTTGTAATGTTCCTGAGCCCTTGCCATGAGTACCTAGGCGGCAAAATCAGTCGGCGTGATGAGTCCCGCGTCCGATGAGTTTACGCACTTCTAATGCGATAAAAGATGAGCTGCCCAGCTTTGCCATTATAACATCCAGTCGGGGTTGTGCTGACCAACCAAATTACCAAACTTTGTAAACAGACTTACATAGCGCGGGAAAAAATCACTCGCCTTCAACTTGGTATGCAGCAACTGTTGTTGCATGGGTGTTGCACGTGTTCATTTCGAACAGAAATTGCATTGTGATTGCATTGTGATTGTATTGTGATGTATTGGTCGTATGTGGACCAACTGACGTACCTTGGATAGCGACGCGACTTATCTTAAACACATTTATTTCCTCATAGAAGGCCGATTCATAATATTGCACGACACATCGGCTGATTTATCTCCGTTTTTTCAACGATATTCTCTGAAAATCGCCCCCCAAGAAAGTCCAGCCGTATTCTCGAGCAAAAATAAATTAATGAGAGGGAAAATTTTGAGAGATCAGAATCGGGGTCAATAGTTTGCCAGTTTCAGTCAGTATAGATACGCCTAAGTAAAAAAAAAAAAAAAAAAAAAAAAAAAAAAAAAAAAAAAAAAAAAAAAAAAAAAAAAAAAAAAAAAAAAAAAAAAAAAAAAAAAAAAAAAAAAAAAAAAAA